TTTAAGCCCTCTGCACATAAACACACTCGTATCTTCAAAGAGAGAGAGAGAGAGCGAGAGAGAGAGAGAGAGAGAGAGATCATCAGTACCTGAGGGACAAGGTTCTTGAAAGAGTCCATGATCTTGGAGCTCTTGGCCTCTTGATAGTATGAGAAACAGCCAGTGATCATCACGACAGCAGAGAGTACAATACCCAGATACAACTGCACAGGACAATGGAGGAGAGGTTAGGGATACTGCTAAAACCACATGATCTTAAAAGACAAAACTTTAAGAAACACGAACAGGGATTTCTCCTTACGTTATCATTGGCAGGTTCCTCCTCGTAGACTGCCTGGATGCCGTAGGCAAGAAAACATAGAATGGCACCAATCCACAGGAGAGTTGAGAATCCTCCAAAGAGCTGCTTGCAGAACTTGACCCATTCTGGGGTTGTTGGAGGTGGAGTCAAAGCATTGAGTCCATCACGTGCCAAGATCTCCTTAGCACGATCGTTTGTCAATCCCTGGGAAATGTTACGCCCCTACAATACTGTGATGCCCTGTACCGGCCGGAGCGACGAGACAAAAACATTAAAACCCATTATAAACGAGGCATTTGTTGCATCCAGTGGGGACATAATTACAGATTATAATGACTTATACTGTCTTTTGATGCATTACATCGCTCCGCGTAAACATAAAACCATGTCTGCATTTGTGATCGGAGAAACGACAAACACAGCGCCTTCACGACATGGCGGCGGCAGCAACAGTACTACAGCGAGAATAAAAGTTACGCCTTCTTTCTTTGCGTAAACATTTGGGTGGCGTTATGCAAATCTTCCCACATCGTGATGTAGACATGTGGGGGGCGTGTTAGAACGAGCCATTTTAGGTAGGCGTGGTTGACAACTTTTATAAAGAATATCTCTTTGGATTTGAGACTTTAGTCTTTACAACTTTATAGATCTTCTTTATGCACCAAGAGCTTGTAACACTCCAAAGAGAAAGGAAAAATTGAAATCGCATCATATGACCCTTTTAAAATATTTTTTTCAACGGCTTTGATGACTTCAGCTCATCTTACAAAGAAACAAGATATTTAATGCTGCATCAATTTTTTTTTTTTGCAGGTCTATCCATGTCCTGATATAAATCTGCAAGTACACTGGATTGGTTGTTTTCTGTACATGAAAGCAACAGATGATGGAAGTGACCAGAAACAAAGAACTCGACACCTGTAGTGCCCAACTGAACATGACAGCTTACTTTAGCACTCTTTCACGTCTGCATATGCTGGTTTATTAAACACTTAGTCATCACATTTAATATGCATATAAGCAGTTTTCACATCTTGCACATGTGTGTGGAAAATGTCACAAAGTTGAAAGAAGTGAGTCAGAGGGTGGAAGATAAATCAACTATAGAAAAACCTACACATTCACATTTGTGAGAGAATATTCTGGATTACCGTATATCAAATATCAGTATTAAAAAAGTCTTTATCTTGCACATGAGCCAAAAACGGTTCGCTCGAGCATATTAGTCCTTTCATACTGGGACTTTGCCCTGTTGACATTGGAAACAGGGCCACACCTCTAGGCCCGTGAATGGGTTAAGTCACATGTCAGACCCAACTCTTTTTGTTTTAGAAGTGGCGAATGAACAGGAGAGGGTGAAAAGAAAACATGGTGTGCAAACTCCTCCACACCAGTCAAAGGGCAATTAGTGCTGAACTTTTTATAAGCTCACTGCAGTTTAAGAGCACAGAGAGAAAATGAACAAAAGCTTACAGTGGGGTCCAAAAGTGAAATTGCTTCTAGTTAGCATTTGAATACACAATCGGACATTAAAGATTATACTATCAGCATAACAATGAAGGAGAAAAAGGAGAGCTATGAAAAAATGGTGAATGTCTTGGTATTGCACATTCATGAACAAAATCTGTTTATGTTCTCCAGCATGATTTCAGATGTTCCAAAGAGCATCTTGAGCTTCAGTGGAAGAAAATCTGACCATCTGAAAGTCACATGATCAACAACACTCATTTACTTACATTTAACTAATCACCTAAAGATATTATTTTCAAAATCCTAAAAGCGACAAATGTACAACATGGTCTGAAACATTTGGACCATACTTTCTAAAATGTCAAAATAAACATCCATGCATTTTGGAAAGCTTTGTCTTTCCCCATTGGTGGCGGGAAAGCAGCAATTGCATGGAGGTAAATGCATGTTACTATCGCAAACAGTTCACTGCACCAAAAAAAGGTAAGGGGGCCCTGAGACAGCCTTCTGGGTCAGTGAGGAGGAGTGGTCACTGTCAGCCTCTGTCAGATGGGACTGTCAATGACAAAAGGTCTCACTAACACATAGTGAGTGATGAATGGAAAGAATGTTAAACTCTTCAGAGATGGAGCGACAGTCTTAGCTTATATACACACTTGGGGGAGCGAGAATACAGCTGTGGTCAACACCTGATGCCGGTCCAAATATACAATATACTAAAATTTTTGTATGAAAGAAATAGCTTGCTCTTAAAAAAAAGGTTTAATGGATTTGCAAACATTAAATATAATCAGATTTGCATCCCCTTCAAAGTCTATGGTGGCTATCAATGGGTATTACCATGGTAAACTATTATCTGTATACAATGTAGGCCTATATGAATATTCTAAGTACCATATATGCCATCATGGTAATTCCATAGTACTTCAAAAGGTAAAAATTCAGTATTAAACTAGCAAACATTTAGATTCTTATTTCACTATGCCCCAGAAAAATTCTACATTGCAAATGCTGTTATTTCATATCAGCCTCTTGCATGCAAACACAACAGCAACCCTGTGTATGCAGAGGCCAGACATCTGCCCCACTGCGGTGGGATTTGATGGGGCTGGGGGCATAGCTCAATGCACCAAACCTAGGCTACTTGAAACATGCAGATGGCTGTTTGTCCTCCATCACATGGAATACCCTGGGACTGAATGCATAATACACATTTACACTGGTGCTCAGAGCCTCACATTAGGGAGTGGCATTCAGCTCTTACGCAATGCCACTGCATGCTGGAATCATATTAGGAGTTAATGACCCCTACACGAAGCAAATCATAAGATTATGACTGAATGTGAAAGGAGAAATGAAAGAAAACGTTATTAAAATCTAACCATATCATGCAGCTAATGGGGTGTTTTACAGTTCCCTCCAGAATGTAATTTAATTAAGATTAATGTCTATAATTCTGAATTGAGGGACACAAAGACGTGATTTCATAGCAGGTACACACTGTCTCCGTCAGTGCCCGCGTTTAAGGGAAGCCTTTATTGAACGAACTAAGCCTGCTCCACTTAATATAGGCTAAGTAGATAACGACGACAAACAGACGTGATGAATGATGATAACTAGTCCTCAAACCCGAGACAACTTTATCATGTCAGACTACACCCTCAAATTTGACATGGTTTGCTTCGCGTTACGTACAGTCATAACAAACATAACACGAACCAACTGCAAGATAACGCCATTAAACCCGATATGTCAAAGCGTTAACTAAATGATTTTACATTACACGGTTAAAGCACGCGTATTTGTTTCTTTAAAGTTTTTTTGAATCGATGTAGCGTGTGGTAGCAACTGTTTATCTTCTGTATCTCAGGGTTTAAACTGAGGAGTTAAAGCGTTTAGAGTTCAAATGTACAGCTATTACACAGTCATACGATACATCTCGAGACTTTCGTATCAAGAAGCGAACGGTTTGTGGATTTGAGATGATTTAACTCAGCCTACATTTACAGTGTTTATTTATTTCAAACAAAATTGCGGGCAATTTCAAAATATGCGACTCGTTCCATTTTCAAAGGGGATATTTAGAGACAGTGTAGCAGATGTAGTATATGTCAAGATGAGATGAACAGTTCATCTTGTGTATCTGGAGGTTTTACCCCAAATATGTAAAGTAAGCGCATTATTCATTTCGAGTTTTAACGTTACGCGGTTAAATAGTTACACCATGTATCTCGAGGTTTTGTCACACTCAGAAACACGCTGTCGGGCCAACCTAGACATGTTTTGTCGTACAAGTTAAAGGACTTGAAGATTTTTCTAAGAGCTGCAATAGCCTACATTAGGGCGCATTGAGAGCGATTATTTTGTAGCATACATGATTACTTCAGTTTTACAAAGTAAAAGTCCCGAGACTGACTACTACATCTGCTACATCGCGGCTATACAGGAGAAAGTTTGTATCGTTCCTGAAATCGTTGTTGTGAACGAAAAACGTTTTTAAATAGAGTTTGCCTCTCTTTTAAAGCCACAGTCTTAAAACCTGTTGCTCCGTCGGAGAATACAGACTTCGTATGCTTTAGGTTAACCCTTGCGCGCATTTCATTCATTTAAACGAGCTAATTTGAATATTAAAACTGCGGAAGTCTCATACTCCGGGAAGCCATTTGGCAAACAGCTGTTTTCAGTTACTTTAAAACCATCTGTTTAAACATAGAAACAATATTGCAAAATGCAAGAATTAAACGATAAACACATTAACACTTACTCCTCGTCCCATTTTGCTTCTTTTGATTAAAACGTCCACCTGGCTTTTCAAAAACAAAAACAAAAATCCAAGCTTTAAAAACAACAAATTAAAAGTCCCCAATCCCGTTTCCCTTCTTTTTGGGGGGTTTTTTCGCCCTTGCTCACCGCTAGCCGTGTCGTTCCACGTACAGTCTGAACATTCAAAGCTTATATATAGTGGGTTTTTTTCACTGTGACGTCTGCCCGGATTGTCATGGTAACGCGGAAGAAAATGGGCGTGGTCTGCATGGAAGACAAGAGCGGGGCTGTTGTGTCAGACTTTCACCTCTGAACTTTGATCGTTTTAAATAAATGTATGGCTTTTCCATGTCAGTGCCGATACCCTTTTTGTTTGAGCTTATCTTTGTTGAATTGCTGGTTAAGAAACCCTCTTGAAAGTTAATATTCTCCGGGTTAATCTTGTTGCTGTGTTTTAGAGTGTGGTTTCAAGCTGGTCATTAACTGGTTGACTGACCATGTTCTGAAAATCAGACCACAGTAAACCAGTAAGACCTGCAGTAAACCAGCTACCAGTTGGTAGCTGGTTTACTGCAGGTCTGCCATCGTGTACCAGCTAATGACCAGCTTAGATCATCTAGAAACCAGTTCAGCTGTGACTTTCCAGTGTTACACTGTATCCTTAAGAGCACAGAGTTAGGCCTACTGGTTGCTTTTACTTTACTTTACTTTTAGTCATTTAGCAGACGCTTTTATCCAAAGCGACTTACAAATAAGAAAAAGTAATTAAAACTAAAAGCTAAAACTCTATAAATAGTATATATATTCATTAAAAAATAAAAAATAAAACAATTCAATAGATCAGAAAAATAACAGATAATGCTAGTGTTAGAAGATCATTATTTATAATAAATAAGAAGAAAATAAGTGGAAAGAATAGAGAATGCTAGTCTTAGGGGCTCTTTTTTCTTTATAAATAAATCAAGTAGAATAGAAATAGAATAGAGAGTGCAAATGTTAGAGGGTCAAATTTTTTAATAAAAAAAAACAAGCAGATAAAATTTGAAATAGCATTAGAATAGAGAGTGCTAGAGTTAGATGGTCAAACCCAGTGATGATGCTTCTTACGTCTGTTTCGGAGAACCAGAGGACAAATATTTCAATCGATCACTCAGGCATGGCCCCGAAATGAGGCACCAGAATCTGCATTCAGATTCGATTCTAGTACATACCAGTTACATAGGTACCGGTGCCATATTAGTACCGGGTTTCGGTACCCAACCCTACTCGTTAGGTGTAGCCTATAAGACATCTCTCCACACAATCTGTATCTTCCATTCCAACCTCTCCCACCACCATGGGCAAGACCAAAGAGCTGTCAAAGGATGTCAGAGACAAGATTGTAGATCTGCACAAAGCTTGAATGGGCTACAAGACCATCAGCAATAAGCTTGGTGAGAAGGAGACAACAGTTGGTGCGATTATTCGGAAATGGAAGAAATGCAAAACGACCATCAATCGGCCTTGGTCTGGAGCTCTGTGCAAGATCTTGCCTCATGAGGTAAGGATGATCATGAGAAAGGTGAGTAATCAGCCCCGAACTACACGGGAGGAGCTTGTTAATGATCTTAAGGCAGTTGGAACCACAGTCACCAAGCAAACCATTGGTAACACACTACACCTGCTGAAGAAGGCACATGTACAGACCCGTTTAAAGTTTGCCAATTAACATCTAAATGATTCAGAGAAGGCTTGGGAGAAGTGCTGTGGTCAGATGATACCAAAATTAAGCTCTTTGGCATTAACTCGACTTGCTGTGTTTGGAGGGAGAGAAATGCTGACTATGACCCCAAGAACACCATCCCTACAGTCAAGCACAGAGGTGGAAACATTATGATAACATTATGCTTTGGGGCTGTTTTTCTGCTAAGGGTACAGGACGACTTCACCGCATTGAGGAGCAAATGGACGGGGCTATGTACTGTAAAATCTTGAACAAGAACCTCCTTCCCTCAGCCAGAACACTGAAGATGGGTCATGAATGGGTATTCCAGCATGACAATGACCCGAAACATACTGCCAAGTCAACAAAGGAGTGGCTCAAGAAGAAGCACATTAAGGTCATGGAGTGGCCTAGCCAGTCTTCAGACCTCAATCCTATAGGACATCTGTGGAGGGAGCTGCCAAACGACAGCCAAGAAACCTTAAGGATTCAGAGCGGCTCTGTAAAGAAGAGTGGATCAAAATCCCTCCTGAGATGTGTGCAAACCTGGTGACCAACTACAAAAAAACGTCTTACCTCTGTGCTTGCCAATTAGGTTTCTGCACCAAGTACTAAGTCATGTTTTGCTTGGGGATCAAATACTTATTTCACTCACTGAAATGCAAATAAATTTCTAACCTTTATATAATGTGTTTTTTCTGGATTTTTTGGTTGGCATTCTGTCTCTATATGTTAAAATAAACCTAACATAAAAATTACAGACCTTTTATTTTTTTGTAAGTGGGCAAAATTAGCAGGGAATCAAATAAATAATTTCCCCACTGTGTATATATATATATATACTGTATATAGTCAATGGCTACCGGCAACTGATTGGTTACCTACATTCCTACATTCTTCAAAATATAATTTTTGGATGAACTGTCCCTTTAAAATTAGTCACAGATTAATTACAAATGATATTTTTTTATTAAAAATTGTTTCCCCAAAGGTTTATTTGTCAGATGTGCAGTGGTACAGTGGGGTTTAAAAGACACTTAATATTTAGTAATATCAATTTGACTGCACTAAGAGTTTCACACTATATAGAAGAAAATAATATAAAAATGTAGTGGCTATATGCTCTAAATATCATAATGCTATATTATTTATCTGCAGCGGGTTTTCTGTGCGCAGCATGTGAATTTTTATGCACTGAATATCTGGATTTCCAGTGCGACAACTGAAGTAATATCTACTGTGATGCTTAATATCTTCATCTTGGCTAATATTTTGATTGGACTACTAAAAGTTAGGATATTTTACATAAAATGTGGGTCATGCTTTTTGTGCTGTTAACTACTATGTAATAAAATTAAACTATGGATTTACTGTCTAACTATCTGTTGTTGTGATAAACTCCCACGTTTATGGCTAATGAGTTTGCGGCATGGTTAGATTTAGGAGTAAATGTAAGGTTAGGGTTAGGGTTATAGGGGTAATAGGTGTTAGGTTTTGAGGTAAGGGTTGCGTTACGGTTAGAGATAAAGGTAAGAGTGTAACTACAAAGTTATACAATACACCAACATGTATGAACATAAGTATATTGTATTAACTGGAATGCAGTGTTCCATGCATTGTGCTCTGGTTTTACCCTGAACAATGGTAACCCAAAGCATAGCAGTTAAGGTCACCTAATTTAAAGTGTGACCGAAATATGAAATAGCCCACCTTTATTTGTCACATGATAAACAGATTCTACTTACTAAATTAAACATGCAACATACTGTACGACACATGTGTGACAAGTTTATTGTTGTTTAACGATGCATTCTGTTTCACATACTATTTTTTATAAGTATAAGTATAAGCTGTTCAGAGTATATACTGTGCAGTATTCCAGTGAAACATAAGCTAGTATTGCACTGGTAATGTAGCTGAAGTAAAATAATAAAAATTAACAAGAGCATAAGAGTTTAATAACAGTACACTGTAAAAAAATAGAGCAAAAAAA